TCTAATTACGTTTACCGTGAAATGTATTTAGTTTTTTTTTTTATCATATAACGAACCATTGACAGACAATAATTATTGGGCTTCAGCTGTAATCAGCTATTTATAGTATCACAGAATTAATTACACGACATGACAGCGAAATTATTGGACACATGCAGTACCCACTGACCTACAGCGAATCACATCTCACTATCTGCAACACCTGTCGAAGCCACAGAACGTGGCGTATCTGTATGGCATACTTTATATGATCAAATCCGCCATCTGCGAGTGACTCATCTTATGAAACCCGACAGCTCTGAGTGAAGATGATAGATTCTGTTGCGATTGTGTGAGTGCGCTCTCCATAGTTGAGTATAATATAGTATTTGGCGGTAATACGAATACAATACAAATCCTTAGACACTGTTTTTTTTCAAATAAACCCGATTCCACGCGGCTTTCATTTACACGCGCTCATACGTCGCCAATGAAGTTATCATTATGTCACCATCTCACAATATTGTCATTAATGTCTAATACAAAACGTGACTTTGTTGTCAATGTGACTGTCGCCATTACCCTATCACCTACTCTCGGAACTCATTTATTTTCTGATAGTTTTAAAATAACCTGCATGCCACTAAATGCTAGTTATAAAATGGCAGCTTCATTATTAAATATAATACACACGTTATTCAACTATTATAGAACGTATGGCGCAAAACATACAAATAACAATGAATTATAAATAGAAACGCATTCATGGTCTAGAATGAGAAATTACAATAACAAATACGACGGAGGGGTCTGGCATAAAATGTCAATAATTGTTCGTAAAAAAGTTCCCCATTATGCATATAGACCTAGATAGTTCCATAATGACCTGTTCATTGTTTCGAAATGAACCAAAGCCCAACATCATGCGTTTTAGCAATACAAAAATCTTTAATGTTAAAGTAGCACGAGACACCAATATCGTTCCCAGTGGCACACTGTGTACAATGACAGTTCTGTTCACGTTGGATATAAGAGAACAATGAGTTGTATACGATTGTACCGATTAAAAGGTGTTTCTTGTTTGAATTCCTTCTTTAATAGATTCTCTTTTCTATACAAAATAGATTAGACGCTTTTTATGCTGACTGAAATTATTCACTGTCACAATCTCGGTAATTTGTGACGGGAGCTAGGCTGCATCTCTAAGAAAATACTAGAATGCAAATTATGGTGGTTTTTGCAAAAATGTACTAGTAATTGACACCCGTTGTGCGTCGCTACGAGTCCCATATCGAACAGGACGCGGCGTGACGACCCTTTAAACTAATATTAACTTTTCACAATTTCTTACTCCATCTAACATATATAAGGTATTCCATTGCTGCATATGATTAGGTTTTGTGTTATTTGGCTCTCATGAAATATGGGAAACTCATCAGGTTAAACTTGTAAGAAACACGCATTGTACAAAGCCACCGGGGGGGGGGGGGCTTACAGTGGCAAATGCAAGACATTGATTGGCATCGTGGCTGTATATCATGAAAACTTTGAAAATATCAAATTCTGATTTTGGCTACAGAGGACATTTTTCACATTCTTTCACAATCCAAACATCACATCGACCATCATCTCCGTACAAGTGATTTTTCAGACTTGAGATATTAAAATCACAAACACTCCGTTATTTTGCAACAGTACAGCTTGCCTCAGTCCTAGGCAGCGATGTCTAATCAACAAATCAAGCTGAGCACGTTTCAATACCGTAGTCACTTCGGCCACTGTGCTTAAAAGCAAGACCACTAAATTAAATTCCAGGATTTCATTGGACACAATTCTCATTCACTGTACAAATTCCAAAGTCCTTATGCTTGCAGCGATTAGTAAGGTGTTTTAAAATTTAATGTTCAGCTATTTATTTAAATCGACGCGAGGAAAAGTGATCCAATAATATGGATTTTTAATGATCATTTGTCTAGGCATTCAGTTTGTGATTACATTCCATCCTACTAGGGGGTACTTGCGTGTGCGAAAACTGAAAGACAATACAAGTATCCTCACAATCCAAGCGCTTTATTTACAAAGTAACCAACTCAGTCATGTCAAATACAAATTATTGTAAACTGAACACACAGAGTAGATTAGATATAAGTTACCTTTGTTAAATTGTTCTAATATGATGTATAGTTTACTGTCAATTATGGTTGAACAGCAACAAATCATTGCCAATCACAGCGGCCCTACTATCAAATGGACTAGTCAATATTGAAGAGTTTCACAAAATGTTAACAAAGTCAATAAATATTCCCAACTTGCTGGTAAAAAATAAATTGTGTTGAATGTGCAATGATTGTTATCTTTAATTAAATTCGCAAATAACAAGTTTACAGGAAACATTTTTTCAGCGTTCCACTATAATGTACGTGTCAAATACGAATGCACTAAAACTTATAATTGTATGTACACAATATATATATATATATATACTGTATTATTATTAACCGTTAAATCAAGTTCACTGTTAAAGAGCAATTGAAAAATATGTAAATATTGGTGAGCGCTGCTGCATTTGTGCGTTACGGCCTGGAACTACAGTTTGTTTTCATTCCATGTATCCATTCTATACTCCTATATCACCTTTGTCCAGCTTTAGCGTTCTAGAAGTACTACATCACTCAGTATTCTGCAACGTTACGATGGCCGGCTGGGTGGAACCTTAACGCTTCATTCACGCATGTACATATTACCAGGCTATGCATTGTTCTTTCCCGGTTAAGTCTCTGCGGGGAAAGTGGCAGCAAACGGAAGAGCCGATAACATCACGTTTTCACTTCGTGTCTGAGCGCAAGGTGCATTTTCCAACGAATGGTAGTTCAACCTGTATCTCGACATTTTCCGATCTGTTATTACATGTCACGACGACATTGTCGAAATTAATATCTTTTTCCGAGACCAGACCTCGTGGCTGAGTCATTAGCTTCACGCTACAGCGCATTGACAGTCTTAATTGTTTTTCGATACTTTTGTCCGGTTTTACTGTTTGGGAGATCTCCTTCTGTGATTCACTCACATGGACGACGATAGCGTGTCCGATGTGTCGGATGCCGGCAGTGTCATAAATACCAAACTCTTCTTCCTCGGCGACCGCATTAATACTGAAGGCATATCCGTCGGGGTGCGAGTCGGACCAGAAATAATTTTCGTTATGATTGAGAAACGGGCCTTTAAATGTGAAGCGTTTACCATAACCTTTACCAATGCTTAATAATTTCAGAGCCTTTCCACCAAATTGACGATTCTTCGTACCAAGTATGCGAACGGTGTAGCGAAAACCGGGGAAGATTCTGGCGTCCACAAAAGTACCTGAAATGCGACGAAACATAAATAGGGGTTAATATTTAAACGGCTATCCTTAGTAGTTCAGATAAGGCAAGGGTGATTGACCCCATTTGTATACACATTTCAACTGATTCGAGGTCGATCGCTTTGTTATTGTTTACGCGGGTTCTAGTTCCCGCCACGTTTGTTTTTATTTTCGGCTAAAGATTTTTTCTTTTGTACTGTGTACTTGAATCAACCTGAATTTTGAAACTGTCCTGAATATAAAATTAAGTCATGTATTTTAATCTGTGAAATAATAGTCATACATATTTTTTTTTCCAGATACACAATTTTTGTGCGGGGAGGGGCGTACACATGCTAAAAATAGCTTCCACACGATCCTGGAATGCATAAATATATATTAATAAAAAGGAGCCGTTCGTACATCTACAGTATTGCTTTTGGTGGTCTCAACAGTTATTACTCACCAATGACGGGCATCTCATGTTGTTGAATATTTTCTATTTCGTACTCAGTTGCAGCATCGTTGACATTTTTGCCCATGACCATCACTTTATTATTGTTATCTTCGGTACTTGGCACCCGAGCCCGAATGTACATTTTTGGCCATACATCAACATTCTGATCGCTTCGGTCCCTTGTTTTGCGTAATGTGGAACTTTCGATGAATTCTTGCCAGTCAGGGTCGTCGGTGATTCTCGGCTCAGGGATGTCTGGCTGATGCAGCGCATTCAGCAAGCACGCGATCTCTTGATTCACAAAGTCAGACATTTTCGTGGTAAAAGTAATGTTAATTGTATTTGTTCCGAATGTAGTGTACTGTTTTAGTATTTACTATGGAACGTAGAAACAAACAAATCGTGCAATACCAGTATCGGAATATCAAAGTAGTCGAGAAATTTACGACAATTTACAGAACCACAACACCAGTGAAATGCCAGTACTAGATGCAGTCTGCGAAGCTCGACGTATTATGTCAACACAACAATTTCCTTTCTGCTAGTATTGAATTTACTCACGCCAAGACCATTTCTTAATCACGTGTGTGAACGACTGTACTGTATATGAGCGATGATTGGGTGAGCGATTCATTATGCACGCAAGGACGTACAAGAATGTTACTGATTGGTCAGTCACTCAGTCAGGCCCATCATGTTCGGAGCGTGATCGACGCGGTGGAATCATGAATGAACACCGTGGAGGAAGCATGTGGTTAACAACTGAATATTGTATGACGTAGCTCCTCAGGATCTTCGAAAGCACCACGGTTACTAAAAACAAAATTGCAATGATAAATGAATAAACGTAAGTCGTATCAGAAAAAATATGACTGTGAAAAATAATTCTAGGCGTGACGCTACCTATTTTAAAGGGTATTACCCATTATTATTTTGCGGCAATACACAAAATATTCCAAATATATAAAAAAGATGAATGCACAGTGGTGATGTGTTTATTATTATGAAGCAACAACTCCTGACGGACGGCGATTGTGGTTATATCATGAAGAGCATTTCTATTCAATTCCAAAAATGATGACTGTATTGTAGAAGGTATTACTCAAGGCTAGCAGGTAGACAAAATGGAATATTCCGTAATGTAATGAAGACACGACTGGCTGGCGTGATACGTAGCGTCGTCACGGGTTTCCTCAGTTGAAACCCTCGGCTCGCATGCCATAAACATGTATTTCGTGTTATATATATTTTTGCAAATGTCGAGTTCTCTCTGTGCGTGTTAATGCTGTGGATGTATCCCACTATTCGCATTGTACACGCTTCAGGCCGAAACAAAGAACATACTACGAACTAGTTTTGTTTCCAGTTCACGCTGAACTTGAAACAAAGCACGACTCATTAGCACCCACATTGTCATGGTTGCTGCTAGTAACTATTCAGTTTCTATAAATATATAGTAAGCAAAACTGTTAAGCAGCTGTCCCGCATTGTCAAGTTGTCAGAAAAACCTTGGAGCTCCATGGAAAAAGTATTGGCAATTGACAAGTAGAAAAAAAAAAGACTTCGATCACCTTGAACTTCAATGTACTATTAGTATTACTACCACTACTAGTTTTAATAATGTGTGAAGCAGTTATCAATGATTTTACAGACTTCCCTGGTTATCCTATCATTTTTGTTTGTTTGAAAGGTAATCAGTTTATCATGGTATGACTG